CACCTTCACTTCTGAGTCGCAGCCTCCCCACCCAGTGACGCCATCCCTCCCTCCCTCACATTGCCCAATGTGCCCAGCAGCATCCAAGGGCCTTGGCTCTCCCACCAGGGAGCCACCCTCTGGGGCTCCACCTTCCCCTGTGTCCATCTGCCGTCCTCCCTCACAGCATGCCCACCGCCATCAGCACACGGTCCCCTCCATCCAGGCTGGGTGCCGCCAGTCCCTCCCACCTGCCCTGTCCGTAGCTGTCCACCTGTCAACAGGAGGGAAGGGACCCTTTCAGGAACGTGCTCTGCCCTGTTCTGCCCTGCCTCCACAGTGCGCTCCCCTCCAGCAGACACATGGAGAAGGCTGGGGTCTCCCTGACTGCAGGAACCAGCACATGGTTTGTGACACAAGCACATGGTTTGTGTCTCGGTGGTCCAGGGGTGCCCCCCCCAACAGAACTGGACTGTGTGCGAGTATGCATGCCCATGTGTAGCCAGGCTCTGTCCAAGTCCTGCCCAGTGGGGGAGTCTGCTGCTGGTCACTGACTCTGCTGGAGGTTCGGCCTACCAGGCCTCCAGAGGTCATGTGCTGCCCGGAACACGGGTGGGACAGCAGATGCAGCTCCTGGAGCTTAGAGCAGCTAGAGTGGGAGCCCACGTCAAGGGCAAAGCTCGGAGTTGGGGTGATGTCACCAAGTGGGAGCCTTGTACGTGGGGTTCCCAGAGACAGGGACCACGCATCACGGCCATGCTGATAAGGGGAGGGCGCGGTGCTCAGCCCAGCGAGCTCTAAGCAGAGAGTGGAGAGAGCACTCATGTCTGGTGCCCCTCACCTGGCAGGGGCCCCTAAAGTCTAAAGCTCCTCGAAAGAGCCCCCAAGCCACCTTCCTGCAACAAAGTCACCTGTAAGGCCATATGGAGGAAAGAGGGGGTAGGTGGCTGCATTCCGGGAGAAGCACCTACACCCCAGTGACAGGCACCCTGCCAGGGATCAGCACAGGGACGCCAGCCACACCAGGGAGCGGCCTGCTGCCAACAAACTATGTCCTCACCAACTCAGAAGGCGACAGTACTCAAGGGCTAAGAAAGGACCTGATGATAATTAAGTCAGCGCAGGCAGCTGGGACCCCATGTGCAAGGACACTGTGCTCCCATGAAGAAAGGCCTCCTGAGGACAGAGCGCGGCGGCAGCCCGGCTCACACCTGTCTCAGACTTCTGGCCTCCAGAACGCCAGTAACAGGGTACAGCTGAGGCTCAGGGCTTCCGGGACAGCGGGAACCGAAGGGCACAGGAAGGAGCAGGGAGAGGGTTCAGGGCGGGGTGCCCAGTCTCCCCAGGGCAAACTCTTAAATGACCCAGCTGAAGGGCCGAGATGGACAGGCTGGTAAGCTGTCCCTGAAGGCCCTTGTCATGCCCCAGGACTCCATCCGGGTCCTGCGTGACGTGCAGTCCCGTCTCCTCAAGCTCCTCCGGGTGGGGACGGTCTCTCATGCTGTCTTTGTACCAGAGGAGCTTGGCACTTCTGAGGCTTGCCGGTCACTATGTTCTAGAAAGTAATTTCTCAGGGATTTGCCTGGCATCTTATCATCCGTCCACAGTGATGGGCTTGGGGAGGACGATCACAGAGGAAAGCGCCCTTCGCGTCACAGCAGTCAAGGGCACCTGCGGCCGGCTGCTCACTCTGGTGCTGGCGTTGGTTGGCCCGCTGAGGGGTGTGTGTCAGCATCTCCCCTACGTGACAAACACGCGCACTGTGCCCTTTGGGGAAAAGTCCCCTCGCACAGCCCAATTAAGGGGCCTACTCTGCACAAGCAATCTGTCCCCTCCCCCTTTACCAACCGATTCAGCCACGGGTTTCTGTCCGTACGGATTCGCACATCCATGTTTTACTCTATGGGCTACAGGGCACTTCCACTTTGCGTGCTGGCCCCAACGGTTCTGCTCTGGCCCCTGAGGCACGTGGCTGCCTGTGCTCTTCCCCCCAGCTCCAGGCTCAGCCCCAGCAGCAGCCACTGCTCGGGAGCCCGGGTTCCTCGGCCTGCTCAGCGGTATCAGAATCCGCGGGAAGTGCCCGCTGCTGCAGAGCTTGGTGGCCTCTGGGCCCCTCGCAGGCTGCAGGCCCACTGAGATGCCTGTCCTCGGATGAGGGCCGCGCCTGACCTGTGGAGACAGCAGCTCCCCAGCAGAGCCTCTGGACAGCTGCAGTCCGGACGGCCACCAGGACAGCCCAGCCCAAGGCTGTCCCCTCTCCTGCAGGGTTCTCCCACACAGACAGGAGACAACAGCCCAAACCAGCACCTGGGAGCTGGGGTCACAGTGAAGACAGGGAAGACTGAGCCAAGTGTGCCTGAGGGGGCCCTCACCAGGCTGCCTGAGCCAACAGGGCTCACCTGCAGCACTGACAGCAATGTTCCTCCTTGGCCAGACCCTCTGCTCAGACCCCAGGAGCAAGCGCAGCTCCAATCGCACTACTCAGGCTCGACAGGTGCACCGCTGTTCAATTCTAAGCACCGCTGCGTCCGTTCCTGTCAATCCCACACATGCTCTTATCCACTCCCTCAGCCGCTGCTTACAGCCCAGGCACTCTGAGAACCAGCCTAGGGGCAGGCAGGAGGGGGCAGATCATCGCAAAATACACCCAACAGGAAAGCCTGGCTGAACTCGTGAGGACAATGCATTAAGAAAGGCCTGATGCAATGCTACAGCTGAGCCCAGCCGCAAAGGAAACAAGTCCAAGATGCCTTCCATGTGCAGGAATGGGTCTGCAGGGGCTCGGGTGAAGCTGGCACCCATGTTCCATGGAAGCCCCTGGTGGTGGCTTTGCTGCTGGACTCTCCTGGGAGTTGGGGCCACTGGCCTGGCAGAGGCCCACTGCACCAGCACAGGCTCCTATGCGGACCCCACAAAGCCCCCGGGGGCTGACTCCTGGTGATCCCTTGACGCTGACAATGCACCTCATTCAGCTGTCTAGTCCAGGCACCAGGCAGGGAACGGGCTTCTTAACATTCCTTTGCACACACATGTCTAAGCTGATTTTAAGCTGTCCCATAAGGGGTTAAAGAGTTACTGAAACCTGTAATGGCCCAACTAATAAACACCCCAGTTTAGGGGAGAGTAATCACCCGATTGCTATCCTATGATTACTACGTGTTTTCATTGCCAAAAGACGCAATACAATTTCATGGTTACTTGGCCCTGTAAAATAGAAATACCCCCAATTTTTAAGATATGAAAAGGTTTATGACCAGGGTACTGTCAGTTCAAGAATGAGGCCATGGGACAAATGAGTCAATTCATGACAAAATTTAATTTCAGGGAAATTAACTCAATAAAGAGGCCATAATTGTACTCAAAGTTTTAATACCTATTAGGAGTTTTAGGGAAGTGGCACAGCTCATGGACAAGCCAATTGGTCTTCCAGCTCCTCAAAGTGCAACTGGCTTAACACCTAATTTATGCATAATGGGGACGGTATTACAAGGAACTCTGTGTTTAACGAGGGGGCCTGGGTCCTGAATAGCCTACCAATCACAGATATGGAAAGTGTTTGCAATTTATAGGATATTAAGTTTTGCTTCCTGTAGTCCTGCAGCCAGCCGATCAATGGCACTAGACTGACGGCCACTTTAACCAAATAGCCCCAGGTACGACTTCACGTCCTAACTAATGTTATTGGGCAGAAATTCAGCAGCTGCCACGTACGCAGCAAGGCGAAGCCCACCGAACAATAAGCACTTCTGTGAGCAGCACGAACAGGACAAGCTACAAAATGTCTAAACACAAAGACTCAGAGCCACAGAACGCTACGGCCACTGTGGGCACAGGGCCAGCAGCCCGGGTCAGGAGCAGAGCTCCGGGCTGTTGTCCGAGACGACCCTTGTGGAAACAAGCTCAGCATAAAGCACTGCAGCACAGGGGCCCAGCAGCACCCTGTCCTGTGGGAGGCGCACATCATCTAGACCCCTGCCCTCAAGGGAGGGCACACAGGAATGAGGGACTGCACAGGCTCTGGCTGCTCTAGCGTCTCCCATCTCCCACTGCCATCCTCAGATACCCATGCGCAAAGCCCAGTGCTGGAGCGCGGCCCATTGCCTGGGACTCACACTGCCTTACACAAGGCCTGGAGCTCAGAGCTCCCACTCACATCCAGCTCCCAGCACCGTCTCCCCAGGCAGCACCCTTTACAAAGCAAGCAGCCCACACTGGACTGCACTCCTCCGGGGCGGGAAGCACCCGACTCTCCACGTGCAAGGAGCCACGCACTTCTTCCCGGACCACTGCAGGGGTTCAACTCCTACCACACATAATGGTCCCCGCTGCTGGTAAGTGAGGACAAAGGCCAGCACCTAAAGCCGAGGCATGGGCCCAGCTTCTGCAGAAACCTTGAACAAAGTGAGAAGGTGTGAGAACAAGCAACAGACACACAGGGAAAAAGGTGGTTTGTTCCAGAAAACTCAATCTCCTCAAGGAATGGATTTCATCAAGACTGGTGGAAAGTAGAAAATTTCGTATTGCACTGAATCTGTCTGCAATGTCTTGGGTCGTCGTTGTAAGTAACTCAAAACACGGACAGTGCATGAGTCCTGAGTGTGAGGCTGGGGCAGAAGCTGCACAAACGTGTGGAGTTACAGGCATTCCTCACCCTACGCCTGGGACTGGGCTCTGATTATAAACTGCTAGCGAGCAACAGGACACGGTCGCCACCCAGGCAGGGTAAAATCCAGAGGCAAAGAGAACAACACGAAGTCCCTTTCCCTGCTCTACACACGGTCAGATGACAAGGAGACCGGACACAGACTTGCAAAGGACCATGTTTGAACTGAGAGGACGCTTTGAAGGTGAAATCAAATGCAGTACAGTGGCAGAGCAGACATCGCAGGGAGGCCTGGGGTGGGAGGGGACTTACCCAGTAGGGAGGGAGGGAAGGGCTCACCTGGCAGGGAAGGCGGAAGGGCTCATCTGTAGGTGAGGAGGGGGAAGGGAAGTCTCACCCAGCAGCCGGGGGTGCTCACCTGGTAGGTGTCCCACAGGCGGATGGTGCAGTGCAGAGGCAGCTCCCGCATCAGCAGGTTGTTCATCCAGCGGAAGGCGAACTGCAGGTAGTGTACCTCGTGCTGGTCCAGGTGCTGGTGGACGGGTTCTGCATGGAGCAAACACAGCCACAGGCGTCAGGGAGCCTCTAGATCCCGGGGTACCAGGTCACTTGTCCTCGAGGCTCCATGCCTGCCTCAGAACCCCACCCCATCACCAGTGCAGCCCAAGCACAACATCAGGGGGCAGAGAACCATCCTCTAAATGAAGGCCTCAAAGCTCACTCCTGCTCAAGGGCATGAGCGGTGCGGGAGACGGTGATCACGACAGGCGGGCTCTGGGTTCCAGCTCTGGGCACCCTGAACACGGCTGGGCCTGGCACAGTCAGGTGTCACCGTCACTCCCAGAAGCTTGAGCCCACATGGGCTGCGTGGTCTCTCTTCTCCTCAGGCTTTGGGCAGCAACTCAAAGTCTATGCCTAAGATTCCCAGCCCTGCCTCAGCCTCCTCTGCTGAGCTGTGGATGCCTGCAGAGCCTGGAGATGCCCAGGCCCCTGCACTCCTACAAGCACCTGCCAGGGGCACAGGTTCTGGTGGCCAGGGGACCACACTCCTGTTCCCTGCCTTCTGCCAGTGCAGGGCTGGGAAGGACAGGTGTTGTCTCATAAAAACAAACCAGTGGGGCTGAATTGCTGTGGACCACCAATCCAGATGTGGTTTTCAAACCAGGGCCCACCCAGGGCTGCCAGGAGGGCTCCCTGCATGCCCCTCTCCTGTGACAGGCCTTCTGCTCTACTTTCCCTCCCGTGACGCCTACCTTCCCCCCACCCGCCCTGGGAATGGACGGTGAGAAGATTACGGGGCGCCCAAAGCTCCCGAAGACAGTGCCGGAAATGGTGAACAAAGAAGCACAGGACCGAGGTCGTGTTCTGCTGTTCACTGCTCTGCTTTACTCAGATCTCTGGCACCTTACGGTATTTCAGAAACGAGGCTTCCGCCCCAAGGAGGGATGGGGCTGGGAGGCGCCCTCACAGACTCCAGGGGCTCAGGCAGCAGTGCGTGGGGCCTCTCTGAGCTCCAGGGCTGAGGCAGTTGCGGGGAGACACTGCCCACGAGACAGCAGGCCCTGCCAGACTGGCCCAGAAAGTGAGACAACCACTCAGGTCTGGCGCTCTATGCTCCCCGTCTGCCTCCTCCTCCAAACCATGTTGACCTCCGCAGACCTGAGCAGGCTGGGGGTGGACACCTGCAGGCTGTGCCCCTGGGGTTCATGTGCTGGAGCTCAGGTCACTGCCCATGGAGGAGCTACTGTAGTTCTCCAGGGTGCTGCCTGGTGCTCAACACAGGGTGCTGTGACAACAAGCCTGGTCATGCCCAGCTCCCCACCTCCTGCCCTGCAATGTGATCCCCTGTGGAGGACCACCCGGGTGACTCTCCTTGAAGGAGGAGGAACTGCCTCCACTCTGGCTGAGCCTGACCCTATTTCCAGGTACTGGCATGTACAGAGTTGGCTGGGACTTTTCCTTATCCCTTCAATTGGCTTTAAGCGATGCATATTGGTCTAGCCAAGGTGCTGATGGTAGTCTTTGGAGATGGCAGGCGTGTTTCCCTGGATCCCCACTGTTCTCATGAGTGAGCTGGGATGAGGCGGACTGTGTGAGGCAATGCTCCATGCTGCTGTTGGCTGGGATCAAGCCTTGGGAATAGAGGCTATGTCTTCCTGAGGTTTCAAATATTACACATCAGAGCTGAAGCACCGACCCCAAAACATTAGATGCTACTCAACTGTCTTATGCAGATTACTCTTTCTGCACATCCTTCTCTCTGCATACAGCACAGGCGATTTCAGGCCAGGGAGGAGGCTCAGTGGTAGTGCACCTGCCTAGCATGTGCAAGGCCCTGGGTTTGATCCCCCAAGCAGAAAGAAAAAAGAGAGTGAGAGAGAATAGGAGAGTGAGAACGAATGTCAAAATTATTTCTGGCCTAAAATTATCTACAGCTACAAAACGAAACTGATGGCAAGTCTCAAGGGCCCCGAGGTGGCTCCTCGTCAGGCCTGACCCCGCCCAGTTCCCAGGCACCGATGGCGGCCCTGGCCGCGGCCCGGCACACCGAGGAGGGGCTCCAGCCGACACGAAATTCAAGTCTGATGAACAGTTGAAACCAGCAGTTTAAAAAATGACAGAATTTACTGAACAAGGTTGTTTAACACAGAAAAAAGAGGGCCGAGCTGTCATGAATATGCAGTTGGCTGCTCCTGCACGGGAAGGGCAAGCCCGAATGACTGGGACAGCTCCGGAGAGGAAGCCAGGAGAGGGTGGGTGATATGTGCTGCCTAGCAGGTGCGGCCCAGCAGGTGGCCCCTCATCTCCACAGCCAGGCCCAGCCTGCGCTCTGCATGAACATCTGGCCACCGGAGTCCCACGCCCAAACTGGCTGGTGCAGCTCCTCAGCTCCCCATGGCCATGAGCAGTGTGGGAGCCAATAGCCTGCGCACTCCCGACCCCCACCCCACCCCCCCATCACGGAGCCACCCATTGCCCCTGGGCAGCCACTCAGATGTCCACCCACACTGCCATGGCGGGATCTCACCACGGCAGCAGGGGGCCGAGCACGTTTAGCAACCCAGACTCGGGGAGGATTCTGCCCTTCACAAGTGCAGGTTCAAGTGGGTTGTTTATACTGGGATACAGAACCCCTCTGTCACCCCATGTCACCTCTGTGTCACCTTCAAGACACATGCGCACATCCACTCCTTCCCTCCACCCACACACCCACCCTGCGCATGGTCTGCCGGTGGGGAATCAGGCCCAGTCTGCAAGGTTGGGCCACTGACCAAGCCTTCCCCAGACCCTGCACAAGGCACAGGCTTGAGTGACACTGCCAGGTCTTCCCTAAAGACCAAGACTCAGGCCAGGGATTTAGCTCAGTGGCACAGCACCCGCTTGGCAAGCACGAGGTCCTAAGTTTGATTCCAGGTACCAAAAAAAAATAAAATAAAGACCAAGACTTCCCCAAGGGCAGGACCTTGTCCCCTGGAAACTGGAAGTGGGCGGTACCTGCTCCACAGGGAGCACTGACATCTTTGTTAAATGAGCAATCTTATTTTTTTTTGCCTTTTTCGTTTTTTGAGACAGGGTCTTGCTATGTAGTTCAGATTGGCCTTGAACTCACAGGGATCCTCCTGCCTCAGCCTCCCAAGTGCTAAATGAGCAGTCTGATGCCAGGGCCTCTCTCAAGAGACAGGGAAGAGGGTGACAGGGAAGAGCACAATGCTGCTGGGATGTACAAGCAGACAGCAGAGGTCCCCAGCCCTGCTGCAGCACCAGCGGCCCACCCACGGAGAAGGTCAGCACCCAGACCTGGAGAGCAAACAACTCTAACACGTGCCCAGGAGGCAGCCGGCGGCTTCCTACGGCAAACTGGCCAGAAACAGCTCTGAAAAATTGAACACATATTTCTGGAGCATCTGCCACTGAAGTAACTTAGTGAAACAAAACAAAATTTAACCCTTTCTGCTTTGCTTTCAGACCCAAAAGTGGCAGGCGAGCAGAGCACGTGGCCCGCCTCAGTGGTGCTGACTCGGCGAGAAGGAGGCCCCACCACCCAGAGCGCGGCACCGGCCACCCTGCACCCAGCTCCTGGGTGCGGCCACACTCCCCTCGCCCTGGCCCTGGGGGACCCTCGCCCCTCGGCGGTGAGGCAACCTGTCCAAAGACGCACCGACGTAGCAGTAGAGCTAAGACCACCCAGGCTTCCCCTCTGCGACCTCAAAACACCATGAGTCTCTGGGAACCAGCACCTGGACACCACGTCACCCCCCTGCCAAGTAAAGCACACGGCGTTTCCAGCAGTGACCAGAAAAGCAGGTGCAGCACAGCCCTCAAGGACACAGCGGGGCCAGGGACCCGCCAGGGCCCTCCACAGGCCAGGCCGCCCCAGGG